CGAGGTCAAGAGTTTGAGACCAGCCAAGCCAACACGGTGAAACCCCGTCTCTACTAAAAATACAAAAATTAACAGGGCCTGACAGCACACGCCTGTAATCCCAGCGACTCAGGAGGTTGAGACAGGAGAATCGCTTGAACCCGGAAGGCAAAGGTTACAGTGAGCCGAGATTACGCCATTGCACTCCAGCCTGGGGGCAGAGTGAGATTCTGTCTCAAAAAAAAAAAAAAAAATTCAAGCATACAGGAAAGTGGAAAGAGCTTCACAGCTTCGCATGCCTACTCTCACAACCAGACAGTTGCCACCTAGCTCTGTCTGCTCCATCCATCCCTCTAGCCACCTAGTAGTCCCAGCTATGGCCTATTCCAGGCATCGGAATCCCTCCAGCTTCTGCCTGCCGTGCTCACCCTCCAGGGCCTCCACTCTGGGTAGCTGTTTTATATTTTATTATTATTATTATTATTATTTGAGACAGAGTTTTGCTCTTGTTGCCCAGGATGGAGTGCAATGGCTTGATCTCGGCTCACTGCAACCACCACCTCCTGGGTTCAAGCGATTCTCCTACCTCAGCCTCCCACATACCTGGCCATGTGTCACCACACCTGGCTAATTTTTTTGTATTTTTAGTAGTGGCAGGGGTTCACCATGTTGGCCAGGCTGGTCTCGAACTCCTGAATTCAGGTGATCCACCTGCCTCGACCTCCCAAAGTGCAGGGATTACAGGCATGAGCCACCGCGCCTGGCCCTGTTTTATATTTTGTTAATAGCTATCATGTCTACAGCAGAGTTGAAGCTACTTCACCACTACTGGAAGCAGAACTCTTCCCTGATTATTTTAAAAACCCTTCTCAAGAGTGTTCTGAGAAATTAAACTTTTCTTGTGACTATGAAGAAACACGACCTTGAATTCAGAAGTATTTGGCTGGAAAATGATTTTTGTGTTAGTGAACGTAGAAAGGTCTTGACTCAGGGGACATATAAGCATGAGCCATTTTATTCTTCTTTAATCTGAGCCTTCACCCAAACCATTTCAATCCCTCAGTTACAACTGGGGTTCATCATTACCCAGTCACGTCAGTCAGTAAAACCAGTCCAGCTTAAAACTTCAATGTCAGCCTTGATGGAAATCTAATCTCTTCCGTCCGCCCTGGGTGGGCTGGACTCCCGGGTGGGTGTGTTGGCAGGGGAGGCTTGGGCAGCCCCTCCTAACCTTCCAACCCAGCACTGAGATCCTAGGGCATGGTGGTGCTTTGCCATCAGGACACCTCTGCTCCCTCCCTCTTCCAGGCTCTGCCTCCCCCAGCGTTGGTGACAGAAAGACAGACTAAAGGGAGAGCCTAAGGCCTGTCCTCCGTAACAGGCCACTCTCGCAGCCTTTCGCTGCGGCTGGCTCACCTCTGCGGAGGTGGCATCGAATGCCAGCCTTCTCACCTCCGCAGCCAGGAAAGAAGGCTCAAGCCCAGCGCTTTACTTCTCTGGTGTTTACTTGATCCATATGGAAAATGCCAAACGTAGGCAGAGTCAGGTGCATTTGCTATCTTCCCTCAGTCCCACTTGTCCACCTCAGTTCCCTTCCTTTCAGCTGGGCATAAGGCCTGGCCAGCCAGACCACTGTCCACGCAGAAATCCAAGCCGGGTGGAGATGTCCTCATGATGCAATCATCATTATTAAAAAAAGAACAGTGAGAACTGGAGGTGGCTGGAGGCACCCCTCGAAAAGATAAGAAGGTTGACCCTGGGTAGGTAATTGTAGCTCACACCTCCCTTGCCATCATAAGTAACTTTTATCTCATGAGCAATCTCAATTCTTCACTTGTTAGCTTACAGGGAGCTAGGAGCTGCCACCATGTGGCTATAAAATATTACTGTACTTCCAAGTACACAGAAAGGAGCGCTAGACTATTGTCACTATGATCACATGCTCAGAATAGAAAGGGAACGGGGACATCTTCTAGCTGAGGCTCACCCAAGATGTGTGGCAGGTGATGCCCAGAATGGGGACATCTTCTAGTTCAGGCTCACCCAAGATGTGTGGCAGGTGATGCCCAGAATCACCAGCTGAGTTCCAGGCCCCATGGCCTACCCAAGAAGGGTTACCATGTGGGGAACTGGCATTCTGCTCAGTTATTTTAAATGCTTGAGAATGTTGAAAACTTAGTTGTTTCTAATGTATTACCAATTGCTATGGTGGTTTTTTTTTGTTTTTTGAGATGGAGTTTCACTCTTGTTACCTAGGCTGGAGTGCAGTGATGTGATCTTGGCTCACTGCAACTTCCGCCTCTCGGGTTCAAGGGATTCCCCTGCCTCAGACTCCCGAGTAGCTGGGATTACAGGTGCCTGTCACCACGCCCGGCTAATTTTAAAATACCAATTATTTTTAAAGTTAAAATGAATGTGAAAGTGGAATCCTTCACTGTTGTCCCCCAGCTCCTCCCAGACTAGACCTTTGTGAGGCTAACGCCTTTCTAGCAAGAATGTTTCAGTCCCCAGAGCTATTCTAGCAGCAGGGGGTGCTCAACTGACGTGGTTTTTTCCCAAATATTTAACATGGTTTAGCTAACCTGACTTATATATTCTAAATTAGTGCTTCTGACTTAATCAGTTTTTTAAAAATAAGCTATCCTTATAGAAATATCCACTTTGAAAATAGGCACAAGGTATTCAGTTTCTCTTTATGTATAGGAAATATCTATAGACTTTAAAGTTGTATTTATTACTCTTTTCAATAATAAGCTATTAATTTCAATGAAAATAAGCTATTCAAATTAAAATATTCAGCAGCATCTCAGAGATATGAATGTTCAGTTAAGCAAAGAAAGTTTTTTTTAATTGGGAGATTTTTATATTTTATTTTTGATTTTTTTTTATTTTTTAATTTTTAATTTTATTTTTCCATCAGTTATTGGGGTACAGGTGGCATTTGGTTACATGAGTAAGTTCTTTAGTGGTGATTTGTGAGATTTTGGTGCACCCATCACCCAAGCAGTATACCCTGCACCATGTTTGTTGTCTTTTATCGCTCATCCTCCTCCCATTCTTCCCCCCAAGTCCCCAAAGTCCATTGTATTATTCTTACGCCTTCGTGTCCTCATAGCTTAGCTCCCACAAATCAGTGAGAATATATGATGTTTGGTTTTCCATTCCTGAGTTACTTCATTTAGAATAATAGTCTCCAATCTCATCCAGGTCACTGCAAATGCTGTTAATTCATTCCTTTTTATGGCTGAGTAGTATTCCATCATATATATATGTATATACACATTTTCTTTATCCACTAGTTGATTGATGGGCATTTGGGTTGGTTCCACAATTTTGCAGTTGTGAATTTTGCTGCTATAAACATGTGTGTGCACGTATCTTTTTTGAATAATGACTTTTTTTCCTCTGGAAAGATACCCAGTAGTAGGATTGCTGGATCAAATGGTAGATCTACTTTTAGTTCTTTAAGGAATCTCCACACTGTTTTCCAGAGCAGCTGTACTAGTTTACATTCCCACCAGCAGTGTAGAAGTGTTCCCTGATTGTCACATCCACACCAACAACTGCTGTTTTTTTAATTATGGTCATTCTTGCAGGAGTACGGTGGTATCACGTTGTGGTTTTGATTTGCATTTCGCTGATCATTAGTGATGGTGAGCATTTTTTCATATGTTTCTTGGCCATTTGTGTATCTTCTTTTGAGAATTGTCTATGCATGTCTTTAGCCCACTTTTTGATGGGACTGTTTTTTTCTTACTGATTTATTTGAGTTCGTTGTAGATTCTGGATATTCATCCTTTATCAGATGTATAGATTGTGAAGATTTTCTCTTTTTTTTTTTTTTTTTGAGACAGAGTCTCGCACCGTCACCCAGACTGGAGTGCAGTGGCGCGATCTTGGCT